TTTAACGATAATTGCTTCTTCTGGTTGATGATGTTGAATAAGCATTGTTTTGGGTTCAGCAGGTATTGGATCTTTCTCTATTATATTGCTACCAATAGCATCTACTACCTGAAGAGTGGTAGAATAAAAATTTGGATTTTGTGGAATAGTTATTGTTTCATCTTCATCTGTTTCTATTTTAGATCTTGATAAAAGAGGTGGGCTGCCTTGGTTGTTAACGCTAACCATAGATTGTTGCGGTAAAATAGCATTAGTATTACCATCATCTATTTGCCTACTACTTGATGAAGAACCTAAACTATCCAAACTACTATCATCATTACCACTAGTAGATAATTCTTCTATTTCCCGTTTTTGTTTGCGCACTTTTTTATGAAGTTCACCATTTTCATGTTTGACATGCTGCAATTCACCAGCTTGGATCTGTAATGCTTTCTTAATATCATTTGTGTTTTCCCTATCTGAATCAATTTTAGCATACACAATGTTGTAAAATAACAATGGTACAAGAAAATATAATGTATAAAGTAACTTTTTCATTGATTCTGCTCCACTAACACTATAAGATCATATTCTAATAAAAAAATATTCTTACTATGTTATTTACAACCTTAAGTTTGTTTACGTGTGTTCATCACGTTTAAATTTAGGACAAAAAGGTTTATTGTGCCATTTACACATAAGCCAATTTAGTATCTGTTCCTAGATATGAAAAAAGATATTAATATAACCTCCACAAAAATGGCGCGCTCCGGTTAAACCGGTAACAAGTGGAATTTATGTCCTACAAATGGATTGTATCATATATTGTTATTGTTTTCTAGAGTATATTTTATATATTGCTAAAAATTTTACAATTTTTCTGCATTAGAAGCTAAATAATCTGCTACCCCTTTGTGAGATGGAGTAATAGCTTCATCCCCTTTATTCCACCCAGCTGGACATACTTCCCCATGTTTTGCATTATAGTATAGAGCGTCTATAATCCTTATTACCTCATCAACGTTTCTACCAATTGGAAAATCATTAACTAGCAAATGGCGCACTATAAATTTCTCATCAATAATAAAAGTACCACGTAATGGTATTGCTTCATCATGTAATACATTATAATTACGAGAAATAACTTTTTTTATATCTGACACCATAGGAATTTGGATATTTCCGACTCCTCCTTTATTATATGGAGTATTTTTCCAAGCTAAATGAGAAAAATGCGAATCAGTACTTATTGCTATTAATTTAGTATTTCTTTCGGTAAATTCTCCTAATCTATTATTAAAAGCTATAATTTCCGATGGGCAAACGAAAGTAAAAT